ACCATTGTAGAGGATATTTTCATAGCAACCATTGTAGAGGATATTTCCATAGCAACCATTGTAGAGGATATTTCCAGAGCAACCATTGTAGAGGATATTTCCAGAGCAACCATTGTAGAGGATATTTCCATAGCAACCATTGTAGAGGATATTTCCATGGCAACCATTATGGAGGATAATTCCATAGCAATTTTGTGGAGGTTATTTCCATAGCAACCTTTGTAGGAGTTATTTTCATAGCAACCAATGTGGTGGATAATTCCCTTGCAACTATTTTTTCCCCATTGCCTCTCTTATATTTCATAAATTTCAATTTGTTCTTGCCGTAAATAAATGACTATATTCTAGGTGAGGTACACAGTTGAGTCTACTCACCGATCAATGTCTTCAGACACTGCCCGGATGAGGTGTCCCAGATCCGGCTGAATCACACATCAGTCTGGCTCCACTTGGCAGGAAAACACAGCAGGCTACTACTTACCATAGACCATCATAGCTACTGGAAACAATTAAAGAACCATCTCTATTGAAATGTACCTGGGACACCATTTCTGCTGTTAGCTTCAACTGTGAGATATAAAGGGGCTGCATCCAACCAACCAACTTCAGGAATTTTGGTTCTACACTTAAAAACAATTAAAGAACCATCTCTATTGAAATGTACCTGGGACACCATTTCTGCTGTTAGCATCAACTGTGAGATATAAAGGGGCTGCATCCAACCAACCAACTTCAGGAATTTTGGTTCTACACTTAAAAACAATTAAAGAACCATCTCTATTGAAATGTACCTGGGACACCATTTCTGCTGTTAGCATCAACTGTGAGATATACAGGGGCTGCATCCAACCAACCAACTTCAGGAATTTTGGTTCTACACTTAAAAACAATTAAAGAACCATCTCTATTGAAATGTACCTGGGACACCATTTCTGCTGTTAGCTTCAACTGTGAGATATACAGGGGCTGCATCCAACCAACCAACTTCAGGGATTTTGGTTCTACACTTAAAAACAATTAAAGAACCATCTCTATTGAAATGTACCTGGGACACCATTTCTGCTGTTAGCTTCAACTGTGAGATATACAGGGGCTGCATCCAACCAACCAACTTCAGGAATTTTGGTTCTACACTTAAAAACAATTAAAGAACCATCTCTATTGAAATGTACCTGGGACACCATTTCTGCTGTTAGCATCAACTGTGAGATATACAGGGGCTGCATCCAACCAACCAACTTCAGGAATTTTGGTTCTACACATAAAAACAATTAGAGAACCATCTCTATTGAAATGTACCTGGGACACCATTTCTGCTGTTAGCATCAACTGTGAGATATACAGGGGCTGCATCCAACCAACCAACTTCAGGAATTTTGGTTCTACACTTAAAAACAATTAAAGAACCATCTCTATTGAAATGTACCTGGGACACCATTTCTGCTGTTAGCTTCAACTGTGAGATATACAGGGGCTGCATCCAACCAACCAACTTCAGGGATTTTGGTTCTACACTTAAAAACAATTAAAGAACCATCTCTATTGAAATGTACCTGGGACACCATTTCTGCTGTTAGCATCAACTGTGAGATATAAAGGGGCTGCATCCAACCAACAAACCTCAGGAATTTTGGTTCTACACTTAAAAACAAGAGATAAATGTTCTGTGAATCATTTTTGAATACTCAATGTGATAGAACCTTTTGAAAAGTGCAAATAAAATAAAAGATAGTTCACTGAGGGAAGAGTTTATTTTTTATCAATACAATACAAGCTTCTGGGAATAAAGCCTGTCGTGATAAAAAAAGAAAACTCCTCCCTCAGTGAATTATAATATTAACAAGGTATCTATATAGAGTTGACCACATAGGGATAGGTAGGTCTGGAAGGAATCATTTTCACAGTTCCTAAACCACAGAATATACATGTAATCTTTACACAGGGGGATAAGAAACAACAACAGAATATACACTTAATTACAATAATTTACCTGATATTCTAGGGTTGGGGAAAGTATATTATTTAAACAGGATAATGACTATATATGAAAAAAAAAAAACAATATCAAGTTGATAAAGTAATAAAAAGATTGAGGCACAAAATCAGGATAATAATTGTTTTTTTTTTTTTGCTTATCCCTAGTACATGTAGTACAAGCCATGATAATCATGGTGGATAGAAGTAGGCGACTACTTTTACTGTAAGTGCACCACATGTTTACACATGTGAAAAACAGTTCGACTTTTCACTTACAAATGAGCCTCGTTTGGTTACTTGCACTCGCTGATGGGGTTGGACTTTTGCAAGAAATTGGGGCCATTGAAGCATTTTTTTTATCAGAAAAAAGTTCCCAATGCAGGAATTGAAGCTGGGTCATAACGGTTCAAAACCAACAGTTTCGAACATCTTTCCACCAACCCCCTTATAAAAAGTAGGGATTCTTAATAATTAGCATAAATGGATTACTATGAGATATTTAGGTAAGAAATGCCATCAAACAGCAGCTATATGCTTGGAAGGAGGAGGACTGCCTATCGACTGATGTTATTTTGAATTAGCTCTAACCCATTCATTGTGTTCCAGCTGAAGATATAATTGTTAAAAATATCATTTTTTTAATTGTTCTACACTTGATTGCCTATCAAACCATAGTCCAAGGTACCAGTATAAAACAAAATGCTAACATCTACTTTGCATTCCATTCTAATATATATATCTTTCTTTTATTCACTTTCTTAAAAAATATTATTACTTCCTCTCTGATCTCTTGCAGTCTCATCCTGTGGAAGGCTACAGTTGAGATGTAGGATAAACTCAAGCCAATTATAAGCCTGATTTAAGACCACATTCAAGAAGGCAGTTCTGTAGTAGGATAAAGGAATTATCATTATTGGATTTTTATATAAAGTAGAGGTATACCAACCTTAAAATGTATTACCCTTATATTTCTTCAACCCTAAATGACCTTTTCAAGGTAGAAATTTTAACATGATGTTGTCTTTGCTGATTTATAAAGGTAGGATTTTAGGTAGACTTGCTGTACATTTTAGGTATCTATAACATCAAACAAAAAATGCTCCAATGTCCCTCCATTCTTGCAAAAGTCCAACCCCACCAGTGAGTGCAAATAACCAAACGGGGCTCTGGCATATTTATTTGTAAGTGCAAAGTCGAACTACTTTTCACGTGTGTAGAAATGTGGTGCACTTACAGTAAAAGCAGTCGCCTTCTTCTAACCACCATGATTATAATGGCCTGTACCACGTGTACTAGGGATAAGCAAAAAAATAAATAAATAAATAACATCAAACATTTATAAATTGACAAAAAGCTGCCAGAAAGTGGGAGTAAAGGTTGATGTTTCTCTAATTTAGAATCAAACAGAATCTGTCTTAAATCACAACAAATCAATTGTAATAGGGTAGGAGGAAACAAACTGCTGAAGAAGCTCACTGCATACACTGGATCCGAGTGGGCAGGTAGTGTCTTGAGGCATTTACCGGTCTTGACATCCCATATTCTGACGGTCTCATCAAACTGCACACAGAACATGTCATCATTTGATTAGTCCTCTCAATATTTCAAATAAATGTATTAACCAAGAGTGATTGTTTATTGATCCTTGGATATCATTAAGGTGAGCCAGGCCCTCTCATTAATTTTTCCATTGCATGCAGTAAGGGCTGTAGTTATTGTTTAATTTTAAAAGAATCATTTGCGTCTATAATAGTTTTTAATTTTCATAACAGATGGCAGGCTAATGCATCAAAAAATAAAATAAAATTTCTAAAGAAAACTTTTTCAAAATCTAAAGTTGTTTCATGACAACACATGCCCATAGAGACACCTTGGTTATAGATTATTTAGCTAAGCACTCTGTGACAGTTTTATCACATCCTCCTTATTCCTCAGATTTCTCTCCCAATGATATCTTTTATTTTCCTAATCTCAAACTTGTGTTAAAAGGAAGACGCTTTTCATCATCTAAAGAGTTTATTGAAAATGCAACGGCTGAAATGAACATGTTCAGAAAAATGGACTATAAAACCACTTTAAAACAGCTTTTTGACTGCTGAAAAAAGTGTGTAGATAGTGGAGGGTCCTGTTTTAAAAAAATTTGATGAATAAAAATATTTAACCTTTATATATATTTTTAGAAAATTTGGTTACTTTTGTACCTTGTATATGTTGACATCTCTCTCTTCCTTATCCAGAGTATTGCTGGAGACAACCTCCAATACCATACTGCCAGTCACCAACCAGCCTATAGGTCTCTCAAGTAGAAAATATATATTTTTTTTAAAATATAAAATGGTCACACACAAGTATATGTATGTGTTGTAAATTTGGTGATTTTGATGGGAGTCTTAGTAATCAACGTGCGGTAGAACCTCTCTGTAAAGGCCAACATCATTTACATAGCCAAAGTGTCCTTTAGATAGAGGAGTCTTCTTACTGAAAAAATGGTAATTTTCTGATGAATCCTCTAACTGGTGTGTCCTCTCATGGTTCTGCTGTATATTTGCACAATTGTAATATATGGAATCCTCTCACTATAAAATTCAAGGCTACCATTACCAACACTACCTAGGAATGAAATAGAAGAAAAATGAGTTTCAAAGCGTCATATTTACTATGGTAGAATCTCTAAAGGACAACCCCTAGTGGCAAAATGTCCTCTTAATGAAGAACAGTTGTAAAAATGGTAAATTGAAAAGTGTCCTTGCTTCAGCTCACAAAATGGAGTCCACTTACAGATCCAGATAC